AAAAGACTCCTCTGAGCATTCTAGTGTGAACACTAACGAACTTTATACCTTTAGAATCCACCATTTTGTAACTGCTGTAACAAAAGCAAATGGTCTCGTATCATCTGTAATAGTATAAAACTATTTATATTGTTCCCATATTTCCGCCTCCCTTCGATACAGTCATAAAATTGTTTGACGCTTTACTCAAAATATCGATTCTGATTTGGAACCGATGTTAAAAAGAAAATTGAACTAATTGTGTAAATATCACCAATATTACATCGCCTCACATTTTATTTATACATATATTTTACTTCTAAGATCTTCCGTTATCATGTCATTACCGGAAAGAATGAGCAGATATTACGCACAAGCACCTTCAACTCGATTTTCCCAGGCAAAATTGCTGAAGCTGATTTTAAAAATGTATTCGTACTTTCGGACAAATTTGAAAAAGTAAAAAGAAAACGCGCTGTCATTGTCAAATCAAATTACTTCCCCCCCAAATATGTCACAGATTCCTAAATCAGATGGATTTTGGGCGATGTTTTAATTTTGAATATTCAAATTTTGAAATTAAATTTATGTTTCCTCTTACAATTCTTGTGCCAGTATCAACAGCACACTACAATTTTTTTTGAAATTCACATACAATACATGTAAATTATTATACAACTCTCTGCCAGATGACATTAATCGATTAAATTCGATATAAAAGTTTAAGTTCCAAGAAAAAGCATTTTCTACTGTACAGCTGTTTGTATACAATTAGGGACTATAACGAGCATCCCCAAAGGAAAGTAATATTTTATGAGTGATATGTAATGCATTATTTACCATTTGGACTGAATCATTTCAAGTACCTGTAACAATTTTTGTACTTCTGCTTCCGAGTCAATGACCATTTCGATCAGGTTTTCGTCTAGTTTCCCTGATCCTTGAGCAAATGCTGAGAAGGCCCTTTGTTTTACTTCTGGACATGTGTATGTAACTTCAAATTAAGTCTCGCAAGTTTGGCCTCGCAGCACGTCACACACAGTTTTTAACTGTTTTTGGAGTAAATAAAAAATTAATGTCTTCGTACCCTCCTAGTTCGAATCTCGGAGAGGGCGCGATAATTCTGCGAGTTTTTTCAAACAATGGCAGTACGTACATGTTACACATACTGTGGGTATTAAAAATATTTTTGAAAGTAGGGATAGGCCGTTCGGAGCAATGACACCTATTTGTTGGCGCCCGCCTCAGTAAAGCAACAGATGAGAGAAGCCCTTCTTAGCACCTCCGAGCCCCAATCCTTCGCAGTCTGGACGCGCAGAGAAATTGAATACATGAAAGGAACGCAATTAAAGGACTCCGTTGTAATAATATGCACGACTTATTAAAGAAAAACGAAACTAAAATGTATATGCTCGTCCTTTCTGTAATTCATGAAATTGTTATCGTCACTTCAAAATCTTCTGAAGCTCCTACAATTATAATAATTGTTCATCTTTTTATGAGAGGCCGAAAATCTTCATTTCTTCTGCGCGTCTGATTATATCTCTCTACCACGGTTGTCAAATCACGGTGTAGGTTGTTGTTCCGTGGTACCTATATGCGTCGGACAGTCGTTCCCTTCACCGTCACCCGCCCGAGTGAGGGCAAATTTCGCATTTCCTGTATTAGGTGGTATCTGGAGAGCTACAAAATTTAATGTCGAGTACTACTGGGCAACAAAAAAGTAACAAGTTCCCATGTATTTATTTTTTATTTATCTTTGTAAATTCTTTGTTTTCTGGTACATGCGGTGCTAACTTGATGTCCAGTTTGCCAATTGTTTATAGCAGGGTCAAATGAAGAGCGACATTTTTTTGTAACAAATTAGCAACAAAAAGCAACAAATTTTGAGTTTAATTCCACTTTTAAAAGACATTGCTTTGCTAATTTTACGGACCACGTGAGGAGGAGATCCGGGAATTCCAAATCCGAGGCGGTTCTGGAACTGTGGTTCGCAAATACACAACTTTGCGAATACCCTTAACAAGTTTACTAATACTGATTAGCTCGCTTGCTCGCCGCCTCTATTTGCTTTATCCTTCCCGCTCCGTTTCCGCTATTCCTGCTACTGATCATTCTTGAGCCACCAAGTCACCTCAGTTTACAGGACGTGTTCGACGGGTGACCGGGTAAAAATCGGATTTATGTGGAAAAATATTTTTTTACGTTAAATTCACTTCTATACTTCGGTAGAGGATACGAAAACGTCTGCCCCAATTATAACACCAGTAGTGTGATTTATGAAATAATATAAATTAGTGATGCAATAGAATGGCATAGACTTTCTCGAACTAGTTCGTTTCCTATTTCTTTGGTCTGGGCTATATTTTCGGTTTTACTCAATCTGCCCACCTAAGATATTTTTTTTCAATTTTCTAAATTTTCTCAATTTTCAAATCCCTAATGACAGAACCGAAACATGACAGAGTACTACAGAAATGTAAAACCTCATACATGGACATTTTCGTTGAAAAATTTAAAAAAACTAACGTTTGTGAGTTACTGAAAATGCAGAACTGCGAGCTTAATTTCTCAGAATTCTTTTGTGCTTTGGAGAAACTGTATGAGTAAAGAGATCGGATTTTTAAGTAATAACACATTTTTTGTCTTTCTACTTAACGATCTAAAAAAAATAATTTTGACATATCGTCGTCGTGCTAACACAATATCAACATTTTTGGTTACATATTTTCACATATTTAATACTATATTACATATTTTGATATTTTTACACAATATTTTATTCTATCAATTGACTTTTAATTTTATGACTCATTTTTACGTAAAAAGGTATTAAAAAACACTTCATTTCCTACACTGTTACTGCATGCTGTCTACTCAAGGTTCGCTACACGAAGACGCGGTAGGATGTTCTCTCAATCCTGTTCGTCTGCATCAGTTATCTCAGTGACGGGAAGTTCACGTCAGTGACTGAGAACAGTGGGATTCTGGTATGAAAAGTATCACTGACTTTTGATGATCAAAGTCTTGTGAACTTTAACATGAATTTCTAAGAAACTTTGCCGATCGTCGTCGTGTAACTCTTGGCTAAGAATGCTACACGCTGTAGTGATAGTTTGCTGGTCGTAGATATCGCCAGTTTGTAGGTTTTTTTAAAAAAAAATTTGTGCGTCTAGTCTGGCTGCTAAACGACCGTACTGAATAGTAGAAAATGAAGGTTTTACAACTGACGGGAAAATTGTATGGTATGGTTGTATGGTTTGATCAATTTGTACTCTTCAAATTATTTTTAAAACTTTTGTATCACTTATCAAATTTATAACGTTTCTTTTATAGATGTAATTAGGTATTATGTAAATGTTCGTTTTATAATTGTGTATTTTAATATTACATATTTTATACTATTTTACATATTCATAATGTATTCTTACCGTTTTCATTACATATTTGTGTACATATTATGACGTTTCATACAACATTTTTTCCTGTTTCTATTTATGAGACATTAATTAAACAAACGCAATAATGTACACAAGTCGCCGGTAATGTAAATATTAAGGACATGAGAGAAATGTTTTTTTGTGATGCACATATTTCACGCAATATTGCACGGAAACTACATCACAGATGGGAAGACAGACGGTCACACGTTTTGGGAAGAAAAGAAAAAAAATCTTCGGTATCTTCGGTTCCAAAACAGTCATTTCATTGAAACCTCAAAATCGATTTTCCGCATACCTTTCTCTAAACTACATATATTTATCAGTATATATGTACGTATAGGATAATGTAAATCAAATGTTGTGATGCTGAAAATAGCGAAAGCAGTATCTGACATATCTCAGTCGGGCCACAAGAGAACCCCCTGCATGCCTGCCTCGCTCCCAGCCCGCCTCTTATCTCTTACGGAATGCTTCCGTGCCCCTCGGAGCCGGCGCCACCACGCGCGGCGGGAGGGGGGCATTACGTTTTGCCAAATTTCACTTTACGATGCACCTATTCGGTCGATTTGGACGATTGATACGGAGTTGGATTCAGGAAGCTCTTCGCCATCTCGCTATAAGCCTACATTTTTTTTAGTTCTTCCCAGAACTATTCATAAAAAATTCCAAAACTCATTTTTCAATATTTTTTCAAGGAGGCTTCGTTGCGTAAATTCTATATTAAATGAGAATCATATGTCGTTTATTGACTGAAAATCGGACCACTTGTTCAAACGTTATGAGTAAAGTCATTTTGGCTTATTTTGGTGCTGCTACGTGGTGGCGACAAATTGAACTAGTGTCAGTACATTTAGCCTTAAACAAGTTTACATAATGAGAAATCACAGTTCAACATCAAGAACTAACAATTTGTCTCTTGATGTACCAACTTCTATTACAATAGTAGTTGATTGCAACACAGTGGAATCTTACCTTGAGCAATAAATATATAATCAATTGACAATAATGATTTCCCCTTTGTTGCCTCTCATGGAAGTCAGAATAGCACTTCACCAGGACAATGAATACATATTATCACTGGCAATGCATTGGCATATAAGTAACGTGTCAATAAAAGACCTTTTTTAAGAAAAAAGAAAAAAGGAGAAAAAGAAAAAGAAGAACGGGAAGAAAAAAACACAAAACAAAACCCGTGTCTTATAAGCAAATATGGTACTTATGAACCAGAATACTTTAACATTGGTATGAGAAAGTAATTGAAAAGATTTCAAATCCAAAAATGATTTTTATTTGTTGTATTTTGATTGCAATAATAAATGTAGTTTCCCTTTCCACATAAATGCCTCACTCAACACAGTAATGGTAGTTGTTCATTTTAAACAATTGTTTTCTTCGGCATTTAAAGGAAAAAAAAAAAAAAAAAAAAAAAAAAAAAAAAAGTGCCCATACTATTAAAAATATTTTAATAGTAGCCCCATAGGCGATTGCTAATCAAACATTAGCACATAGTTGTACATAAATATTATATGAAATTCCACACAAGCTCTTCAAAATTTCAATACCAACAATGACACTTACAGGAGTTTTTAATCGGCAGGGCACTTGAGACAAATGTTTCAATTTAGAGCCAGCTTTAATTGTGGATGGTGAAATAATGTAAGAGAGAGATTCCACATAATAAAGATCACAGTCTTTTGGGCTTGGTGATGCACTGGCTTTCTCCCATAAACAGCATCCCTAAAATTCAAAATAATAAAGTCCTCTTGAACAAGAATTAAAAAAATGAATAAATAAAAAAAATGTTTAAATAACTAACTTGATTTTGAAGTTGTGCAAGCATTTCGGACTGAAGACTACTTTTGACAAACACCTCAAGATTACCATCAGATGGAGGAGTGAGCTTATTTTCTTCACTAGTCAGAATGATGGCCACCTTCTCAGTAATCAGTCTCTCTCTTTCATCTTGAGTTCTTATCAACAGCAGTGGTGTGCCTTTTAATTTTGTTTTACCTACAACAAAGATATCAACAATAAATATAACTTAAGATAATACAATCTTCAAATTAAATTTAAAACAACACAAAAATACAAATGAGTATCATTTTAACAAGAAATATGCCATTTTTTAATGCATAGGTAAGTAACATAATCCAAGTGTATTGGATTTCATTCATAATGATCTTAGAAAGAAAGACCAAAAGCACTCGATCATTACAGATGAATATTATATCCAATAGAAACAAAAATTAAATTTACGCATTTTATAAGTGTCAAATTAAAAAATAATGTTTTATTAGGAAAATTCAAAGAAACCCACCTTCGAATTTTCAAGAGTGCACTCTTTCATATCATTCAAAATATACTAATTACCATTAAAAGTGGAATGAAAAAGAAACAGAAAAAGAGAAATGAAAAGGGGGAAAAAAGAAAAGGGAAAAAGAAAAGAAGGAAAAGAAGAAAAAAGAACGGAAAGAAAGAAAATAATTGAATTATTGTGAGAATTTCTTTTTGTCTTTGACTGGGCTACTTGTGCAGTAGTGGTGCTGCTGCTAAAGCACATACTTTCTCGCATTCTTTCTAAATGCACCACAATATTATACTACTACATAAACCAGCAAAAGTGATTAAGCTGTGATATTTTAGTGAAAGCAGCAAATTATTTTTCCGCTACGAAACTCGAACTCAGATCCTCAGAGTTAACGTGCCGGAACTCATACCACTAAGCCAAGGAAGCGCCGCATGGCTCGAACTCGGACAAAGGTGGACAAAGGTAAAAAAAAGGCACATTCGTCTGATTCATGTAATAATAATAAAAAAAACAACCTTCAACACTGAAAATATCCATTAGAAACACTCAAAGCCTCAAGTCCGTTAAGATCAATCAGGGAATATTAATTTAGAAGAAAATGAGCTAAACTGTTTAGGCGCTAGCGTTAGCGACAGACGGCAAACTGTAGGACGAACGTTTTGCCGTCAATCGATTTTTCGGTATTAAGAACCCACAAAAAATGGATACTGGTTACACCACGTATTAGAGGATTTTTTTTAACATTTAGCAACAGGATTTATCCACTTCTTCGTTACCACAGCCCGGCAATAATATATTTTTATCTTATTAAATATTTAACATTTCAATACATATTTTTATTAAATTTAGTTTTGATTTTCATAAATTGCTTACATTTTATCATAGTTATTGATCTAGCAGATAGAGTTGATGATGAACTCGAAAAACAAAATATATTAAATACGATTGAAATACTTGAAAAAGCCACCAAGCCGGAAAATCAAGTTAGGATAAGAGACGAACGAAGCACTAGTTAATTAGGTTAGAGGATTCGTAGGCTTCCGCGGCCGGAGTCAATGTATTCTTGGCTATCCGGGATGAGCCGCGTCTCAGTTTATTGGACTGACGTTTCGGCCATCTTGCTGTGGCCTCAGCAGTATAGCTCTGAAGAAGGTCACAGCAAGATGACCGAAACGTCAGTCCAATCAACTGAGACGCGGCTCATCCCGGATAACCAAGAATACAATGAGGTTAGAGATCGATTTCATCGAAGAAAAAAAAAAAACACCTTATTGTACATAATGTTGAGGAACGACCAAAAAATCGCAAGGTTGTTCCTAAGCGTGTGAAGAGCGATCTACTTGTCAAAGAAAACCGCGCTCATAAAAAAAAGGCAACCCCGAGCTTCTGTTTTTGAGAAACAAAAAACAAATGCCAGAATCCGATTATATAGCAAGTGACTTGTCTTCCATGCAGCGAAGTCACTTGAATTCATTGAGGGCGGAATTAGAACGACTTAACAAAGATCAGGTCACTAAAAGAATAAAATACAAACGCGGTATCCGCGAATTGTTAGTATTTAAGAGGACGTCATTGTTTGATCTACCAAAAAACGGGATGCCGTCAATGATATTGCTGCTAAGATTGTCACGGGTGTCTCTGATAAAACTGTGAATATTGACGACAATTTTAAACTGATTTAAACTAGTTTAGGAGTCTTGTTCATTGGAAGTACACTACCAACTTATGGCAGTGAACAATAAGTACCATAGTTTTGAACTTTAATACAGCAAGATCGACGAACATTTATTTATACGAATCATAGATCCAGAATTAACCTTATTATCAATTCCGTACATTTTCCACCACAAAAGTCTGAGAATGTTTTTATGTGGTATTGCGAAACTGGAGACATTTGGGACAGGTTTCATAAATGTTCGATATTGAATCCATAAGCTTTTTGGTTCCATAAAATAGTCTACAGCGGCAAAACGTGTTTCTAGAACAACCAAGAGTTATGTAACCTATTAGGCTTTCTATAACTTTTAGGTCCTGAAACGGGTCTACAAACGCTTATGAATTCAACAAATAAGAACTATGGCGACTCTGAACACTGCTACAAACAGCTGTTTACTGCTCTTCGAGGTTATTGGTGATACGTCGCGTGTCGGGTCGCGCCGAGTGATTCTGTATTCATACATTATTTTTGTGTGTATTATGACGAAAAGGATTAAATCTGGATATGAAAATATGTTAATTTTTGCTATAATATTTTGTCTTATTTTTTAATGTTTTTTTTACCTTGCAAAAATATTAATTTCCATCCCACGCGTACGTGTGGCATCCAACACCTTTTTACACGATGCAATTAATCTCAATTGTATCTGTACTGGTAGATAAATGAGTGCAATGAATGAAAACAATAGTTTTTCATTTATGCTATATTTCAAATATTCGTAAAATAATAGCCCACTCTTAACCCTTCGTAGAATCATCAGTGAATTTAATTTGCAGTCATAATGCTGAAATTTGGTTTGCCATAAAAAATAATTTTCTGTTGTGAAACGATTTCTTTCCAATAAAGATGAATATTATAAAATTTAATGATGAACCACAGAAGAAAACGTTTCGTTCTAAGAGCTAGTGCTAGTATGAGTATTAATATCAGTATTACATATACAATTTGAATAATTTAAATGATTAGCCCCTAATAACTTTTTTTAAACTCAAGTCACTTTTTAGAGCATTTTTGCCTGTCTCTATTTGGCATCTTAAATGCCTTAACTTCTGTGCTCTTCTTATATTAATGTGTACATGATGTACTTAATTGTTTTATTTAAAAAGTTATATTAATTATTATTTTAAAGATAATAGAATAGTTCATTATTAATAATAATTTATTATGAATTGTATCAGCAAAAATTAAATATTAATATTTAAAATTAAGAATGGAAGGTAAATTATTTCATTTCAATTCAAATAGTCAATGGCTAATATAAAGTATTGATTGTATTTAATATACTATAAGAATTAAAACAACTAAAATAAAAATAATGAAATCAAACGAAATTGCTACTAAGAACTTATTGACAAATAACGATAAACACCTCAATAGAACCCAACACACGCCAAGAAGTGCAAACGCTATAAGGAAAAGTAATATTCAAATACCGACTGTGTCGCCATCTATTCGTTGCATCACGAAGTTCTTATAGAATCTATAGTTATGACTTCATACATTTGAATCATGTATTTTTTATTCTATTAACATACGGCTCCGAGGGGAAAAAATAAATTTTCTGAAATGTCAACAATCAAGTAAAGAGTTGGTATTATATAGCCCATTTCAAGTTCCTTGAATCAGGTATTTCAAAAACAATATCATATTGTAGTGTGGTTCTTACAACCACACGAAATGCAAATTTCAGTTATTAAGCGATTCCCACAAATAAACGCCATCGGGTGACAGTACCGTAGGCGACCTTGCATACGCCACCTGTCTTATTCCAAAACAAATCTCGCGCCTTTACGCTAATATTGTTCACCGGTTGGCCGCTGGCACTGTCAGCGCAGCCGATGGCAGTGGCTGATGCCTAGTCTTGAAAGGTAGGTATATAGCACTATTGGGGGAGAGAGGGAGAGAGAGGG